CCCCAGGCCACGGCGGCCGCCCCCCTGCGCCGCACGCACACGTTCAACAGCGGCGAGGGCCGGCCAGGTGACCATCGCCGTGGCCGCCACCCCCGGCCCAGCACGGACTTGGCCCACCTCCTCTCCTGCGGTGCGACAGACAGGACTGCGCCCCCAGTGCCCTAGGCTGGGGCCCCGGACGCCTCGGCTGCGCCAGCCACGGGAAGAGGAGCGAGAGATCCAGCCCGACTCGAGCGGGTGCTCCAGACCCCCAGCCCAGTGCGCAGGGGGGGGCCTCCGCCGCGAGGAAGCACAACGGCCTGGCCCCCCACCCTGATCGGGCCGCGGGACATGAGGCGGTTGGGGGGTGGCGGGAGGACGTGCTATGGATTTGAGGTTGACCTTCTGTGCGTGGGTTTGGGTTTGTTTCCAATTTGCGTTTTTTTTTTGCAGTTTTCTACCCAATTGCACAACTCCGTTCTCGGGGTGGCGGCCCAGGGCTTGGAGGTGGCGGGATGAGGAGGGGGCCACAGCTGCAGACCCCAGTGCCCCCCCTCTAGGTCCCTCCTTCACCTAGGCTCCTGGCGTGTGTGAGTGTGTGTGTGTGTGTGCATGCCATGTTCGTGTGCAAGGGGCCAGGAAGGGGAGGGAAGTGTGCGTGTGTATGCCCACGAGGCCTGCTGCCGGTGTGTGCGTGGGGATGGGCACTCATGCAGGGTGTGTGTCTGTGTGTGAGTGCGGCGGCTCCAGCGGCCTGGGCGTTGGCTGAGCCAACACAGGGGCTTCCAGAAGGCCAGGGGGGCCTCCACGGTGCCGGTTAGGAATTTGAGGGGAGACAGAGAGGGGGTTTCAGGGAGAGGGGCCTGCCCATAAGTCACACTGGCAGCAGCTGTGTAAAAGCCCCGGGGGCAGCAAAGGTGGGTGGGCCCCCCTGTAAATATGGCCCCAGGGTGGTCAGAGGGTCCCACGTCACCTGTCCCCTTGTGACCTCCCCTTTGACCTCCAGCTGACCATGCATGCCAGCTGAGTGGCCAGCTGAGACCTGGACCCTCTCTGGAATTTGCCTCCCCAACCCCCTCCACATCAATAAAACTGTTTACAACCACCGGCCCCCAAGGCTCTGGGTCTGCTCTGTCTCCCAGGGGTGGGACCTGGGCAGTGGCATTGCCCTGCACAGTTGGGAGCACCTGTAATACTCACGGCTGGGTCACAGCAGCCAACAGAACTCTGGGGCACTGATTGTGGGAATATGGAGAGTCGAGGGGTTCCCTGTCTTCATATGGATGGGGGCCAGTTTCTGATCGGTCCTTCAGCAAATATTTATTGTGCACCTACTATGTGCCAGGCACTGTGTTGGAACAAAGACCCCTGTCCTCATGAGCTCACAGCCTAGTGGGGAGACTGACCACATACAAGCAAACTAGGACTTGATTTGAGGTAATGATATGAGTAATGGCATAAAAGCTAGGTAATGTGCTAGGTAGAGGTGACTGTGTGGGGGGGAGAATGGGTGGCTAAGGAAGGCCTGCTGGGGGTAACATTTGAGCTGAGACAGGTGAGAAGGGACAGCCCTGGGGAGATGTGCAGATAGAGCTTCCAGGCAGAGGGAACAGCCAGTGCAAAGGCCATGAGGGGAAAATTCACCTGGAGGATGGGTGAGGCGGCAGCCAGTGTAGCTGGAGCAGTTGGTGAAGGAAGGTCAGGTGGCGATGAAGAGGGAGAGAAGGGTAGGGCCCCAGGTTGGCAGGGCCTAGCAGGTGAGGAGTACAATTTTTTTAACTGTGGCAAAATATGTATAAATACACATAAATTCAAACGTGCCATCTGAGCCTTTTTTAAGTGTTCAGTTCAGTGTCGTGAAGTCCATTCACATTGTTGGGCAACCATCCGCTCCATCCATCTCCAGCACTTCATCTTCCCAAACTGAAACAACATCCTCACTAAATACTAGCCCCTCATCCACCCCCAGTCGCCCAGCCTTATCAGTTTTAAGTTGGACAGGAAGTCACTGGAGGGTTTTAAGCTGGGGACGTGACCTGATTTCATTTTAAGAGATCGCTTTAGTGTATGTCATTATACAGTTCACAACCCTTCCTTCCAGCCGGTGTCAATTAAGCACCTACTGTGTGAACCAAGACAGACTTGGTTTCCCCTTGTCATAGGAGAGACTGATAATAAACAAACACAAAATACTGTGATGGCATCTAACAGCTCCTCTGGAACCTGTGTGTGTCTGTTTTTTCAGCTTGAGATATAATTGACATATAACATTGTATAAGTTTCAGGTGCACAACCTGATGATCATATATATTGCAAGATGATCACCACAATAAGATTAGCATATCCGTTACCTCACACAGTTACCTTTTAGTGTATGATCAGAACATTAAGATCTACTCTCTTAGCAACTTTCAAGTATACTATACAGTATTATCAATTATAGTCACTGCGCTATACATTAGATCCCCAGAACTTTTAACTGCAAGTTTGTACCCTTAGACCAACATCTCCCCTCCCCATTACCTCCCACCCCCCAGCCCCTGGCAAAATCCATTTTATTATCAGTTTCTATGAGTTCATTTAAAAAATATATGTGTCTTTATGGATTTCAGAGAGAGAAAGGGAGAGGGAGAGATAGAACCATCAATGATGAGAGTCACTGATCGGCTGCCTCCTGCAGGACCCCTGCTGGGGATCGAGCCTGAAACCCGGGCATGTGCCCTGACTGGGAATCGAACCGCGATCTCCTGGATACGAGGTCAATGCTCAACCGCTGAGCCATGCTGACTGGGCAATGAGTTCATTTTTTTAATTCCACATATAAGTGAGATCACATAGTACTTATCTTTCTCTACCTGAATTTTTTCACTTAGCATAATGCCCTGAAGTTTCATCCATGTTGCTGCAAATGGCAGGATTTGCATTTTATTTTATGGCTGAGTAATATTTGTGTGTGTGCACGAATAATGCTGCAATAACCATGGGGAAGCAGATATCTAAAGATAGTGATTTCATGTACTTTGGATAAGTACCCAGAAGTGGAATTGCTGGATGGTATAGCAGCTCCACTTCTAATTTTCTGAGGAGCCTCCATATTGTTCTCATAGTGGCTGCACCAGTGTATATCCCCACTAACAGTGCACAACAGGGTTCCCTTTTCTCCACATCCTCGCTAACAGTTCTTATTTCTTGTCTTACTGATAACAGCCATCCCAACAGGTATGAGGTGATATCTCACGGTGGTTTTGATTTGCATTTCCCTGATGATCAGTGATGTTGAGCATCTTTTCATATATCTGTTGGATTTGTATGTCTTCTTTGGAAAAAATATCTATTCAGGTCCTTTGCCCATTTTGGTGTGTGCCTGTTTTGTGTGACTGTCTTTGCAGCTCTGCCATTCTGCCCTGTGTGTCCTGCTCTGTCCATGTCTGTTAGGTTCTGTCTATGTATGTGTCAGTATCTATGTCTGTGGATTCATGTGTATCTGTCATTCTTTTTCTGTGCCTGTCACTGTCAGCCTGCATGTTTGTCTCTGAGCCTGTGTGGTCCACTAAGACAGAACTCAGTTATCCTCAAAGCTGAATAGGGACAAATCCTTCAGAGATGGGGTAGGGAGAAGAGGCCATAGCCAGGCATGACAGATAAAGATAACAAAGCACACCTGAATTTTTAGAACTTGACCAGAATGAAAGCGTTAAATAGCCAAACCCATGAGATTCAGCCAAAGCCATTCTCAAAGGGAAATGTGTAGCCTCTGAATGCATTCATTAGTAAAAAAAAATGATCCAAAACAAATAGTGCACCAGTTTAGGATGAAGAAAGAGCAACACTAGAAACCTATATAATTTTATTAATCAGTGTCACTCCAACAAATTCAATTTAAAAAAAAGAAAGAGTAGACGGGGCCTTTGGAGATTAAATTCAACTTTACAGGTGGGGAAACAGGCCAAGAAAAGTTTAGCTACTTGCCCACGATCATAAAGCATAGCAGTCCTAGCACAGCTGGGATTCACAAATAAGTTTAGTCCCTCCCAGCCCATTGTTCAAAGGCTGCAAAGACTTCTGGCATCACTCGCTTTTAGACTATTTTTAAAGAATTATTTCAATAAAAATATATCCAACAACATGTCATAAATTCAAGACAAGTGTATTTTGTTCTCTTCACTGCACTTCCTGTTTGCTCAAATGTGTCATATATTGTACCTCTTGCTCAAAAAACTGTCCCCATCCTCCAGGACTGGCACCTTGCAAGCTTGACCCTTGATTCCTGGGTGGGGGAGGGGAGAAATGGGGACTCATCCCCAGAGACTCTTGGTGCCCACTTTCCAATAGCAGGAATCAGGGGAAGGAAAACTGGGAAGAAGCAGGGACAAGAAGGGGTGGGCAGCCTCCCCTTGCCAGGAAACAATTTTGCAATCCTGACCCCTCCCTTTCCTGTGCCTGGCTCAGATTCAGCCCCTATCAGGAACAGGATGTGGGTGGGGACTTCCCTATGGTTGGTGCCCCTGCCCCCAGCCCAGGTAGGTATAAGGCCAACTCACCACACCAAAGGAATCTAGATGGAAAAGAGAAAGGCCACCATGTCCTCTTGGAGCCCAGAGCAAAACCAGAGGTAGGTCGCCACCCTGCCGTTCCTGAGCCGACAACAGGCAGGGACATTCTGTCTGACCCAGTGAAATCATGGGGCCAGACGTAGGCCTACTGCCTGGAACAAACCAACACTCAGGCTCTAACTAGGACAGGCTTGCTCCCACACACACTCTCACCTGCAGATGCCCAGGCAGGGAGTGGGAGCCCACCCCTGACTTTAGAGGCCTGCTAGAGGAGGACCGGGAGGAGCAGAAGCCTCAGTCCTCCAAGGGTTACAGTGCCAACTGTAAGCCACCAGATCTCAAGGCCAAATGCCTACCCCCAGACCTGCTTCAGGGACTTTTCATGTTCTCTTCACTGCTCAAATGTGTCATAAATAGTGTCTCTTGCTCAAAGAGCTGCCCCCATCCTCCAGGACTGGCACCTTGAAAGCTTGACCCTTGATTCCTGGGTTGGGGGAGTGGGGAGTGGGGACTCACCCCCAGAGACTCTTGCTGCCCTGGAACCCTGGGCTTGAAGCAAAATGGAGCTAGACATAGATAACCTAATCTTGTTTAGTCAGGGCTGGAAGGAAGAGGAGAAGCACAGAGGGGGAGATCGAGAGTTCTGCTTGGCAAAGTCAGAGGCAGCTTCGTGAAAAAGGGGACATTGGAGTTGGGAGTTTTGTGGCATGGGTCTGCCTTCAAAATATGAAGAGGAGGAGGCGACTGCTCTAGTCCAGAGGAGCAATGAGAAGATGGGGTTCTGGGGAGTGAAAGTGGATGGGAAGAATTGGGCATATTCTGGATATATTTTCACTGAGCTGGGTATATTTTTATTTTGGCTCATTATGCACCTTCTATCATTGCCTGCAGCTCAGGGGGCCTGGGCCCCCATCTTTCTCGACCCCTCTTCCTGCTGCTACTAATTGTGGCTCCCTCAGCCCAAGGGGTCATCCCAAACCCTGAAGCCTGCCAGGTGTTCCAGTCAGAGAATGGCAGCTCGGTCAACTGCTACCCACCTGCCAAACTCCCCCGATACTTCCCAGCTGACACCACCTACCTGTCTGTGGAGTTCTTCAACCTCACCCAGCTGCCACCTGACGCCCTCCAGGGCATCTCTAACCTCCAGGAACTGCACCTTTCCAGCAACGGGCTGGAGAAGCTCTCAGCCAAGTTTCTGTTGCCTGTGCCTCAGCTGAAGGTGCTCGACCTCACCCAAAACGCCCTGACCCGGCTGCCCCCCGGCCTCTTCCAGGGCGCAGCCACCCTCCACACCCTGGTGCTGAAGGAAAACCAGCTGGAAGTCCTGGAAGCCTTGTCGCTGCGTGGCCTGAAAGCCCTGGGGCATCTGGACCTATCGGGGAACCACCTCCGGACACTGCCTCCCAGGCTCCTGGCCAACCTCACGGACCTGCGCATCCTTGACCTTGGCAATAACCAGCTGGAGACTCTGCCCCCTGACCTTCTGAGGGGCCCCTTGAAGTTGGAATGGCTGCATCTGGAGGGCAACAGATTGCGAGCACTCGAAGAGGACCTGCTGGAGCCCCAGCCAAACCTGAACTACCTTTTCCTGAATGGCAACCAGCTGGCCACAGTGGCGGCCAGCGCCTTCCGAGGTCTGAAGCAGCTGCACATGCTGGACCTCTCCAACAACTCACTGACCAGCGTGCCCAAGGGGCTCTGGACATCCCTGGGGAAGCCTGGGGCAGCCCAGGACATGAAGAATGGCTTTGACATCTCCGGTAACCCCTGGATCTGCGACCAGAACTTGGAAGACCTCTATCAGTGGCTTGTGAACAATAAAGACAAGATGTTCTTCAGGAATAACACATGCTGCGTTGAGCCTAAAGCCATGAAGGGCCGGACTCTCCTGGCCGCAGCCATGTCCCATTTGAAGCCTAAGGCTGGGGTGGAGATGGGTAGGGAAGGCCTGGCCGAATACTGTACCCCACTAGGCAATTAATTCCCCCTTTTAAGGGTGAGGCAGGCTTTCCATAGTTGCCAGACCCATTTTGCCCATACTTCCCAAAACACCCCTTAGGCTCACCGGCTTCCTTGCCTTTGTTCAAGCTGTACCCTCTTCCAGGAGTGCCTTCCCCATTTCCCAGATCTTTTGGTGTCCCAGCTCCCTCAGCTCACTTGCCCTCCCTCTGGCACGACTCTGGCCACACTGGGGCTGTCTCTATCTGGCTCTGGCTCCCCCAGTTTGGGGTGCTTGCTGGGTACAGGGCCTGGGGCTGAGCTGACTCTTACTCAGCTTTCAGGCGTCAGACCTAAGGGGTTTAATAAATAATTGTAAAACAGAATTGGGCAAATTGGCATTTACTATGTTCCTGCATCTCTCAAGTCAACTTCCTAAGTCTCCAGGATGAAGGAGGAAAGAAGAGGCATGACCCAGGCTTTGGGGTGCTGGACTTGAAATCCCAAATGGATAGCAACTGGGATCTGATGGCCCGTGACTCCTCCTCCTCTTCTTGCCTATCCTGTGGCTTAACTAGAAATAAAACCCTGCCCATTGGCTGGCGTGTCATTTTACTGGTGGATTCCTGCCAGAGCTTGTGCCCTGGGGAAGGTTTAAACTAAACCAGATTGCTTCAGGCCTCCAAACAATTTGTCATGCTGGCCAGTGATAAACCAGAGGGCAGCCACCCAGGGCAAGCGTGGGCAGGCTGGATGGGGCTGGGCAGGTGGGCAGAAGCCCAGGGAGCTGTGTTCTCAGAACTCAGAACCTGGAGCCACCTGCTGACACAATGTTGGACATAGTAGGGCCAGGATCAGATTTTGGGGGCCGGGAGTGTTTGGGCCATGCTCGGTTTTTCAGCCCCCTGGAAGAAGTGCCATGCCCACTTTGGTGATCATTTTAGGTGTGATGATGAAAAAGCCAGGGTCTGGAGCCTGGCAGAGCTGGGTTAAAATCAAATCCCTCAATCGCTGTGGGACCCAAGGCAAGTGGTTTAAGCATTCTGAACCTCAATTTGCTCATCTGTAAAACGGGGATCTGAGGGAATGGGCCGGCCTGGCTCCTGGTTTAGTTAAGTGGCGGATTTTTAAAAAATAGAAAGTGCCCTGGCCGGGTAACTCAGTTGGTTACAGCATCCTCCCAATATGTCAAGGTTTCGGGTTCGACCCCCAGTCAGGGCACATACAAGAATCAACCAATAAATGCATATATGGGTGGGACAACAAATCAGTGTTTGTCTCTCCCTCTCTCTTAAATAAATTTTTTTAAAAATAGAAAGACATTAAGGACTTGCCCAAGGTCACTGGGGTAGGAGGTGGGGGCTGTGATCGCCCCCCTCTGTCTCTGCAGCAACAGCGAGGGTGACAAGCGGCCAAAGCTAGCCCACGGAAGTAGCTCAATCCTTGGGCATCCAGCGTCCCAAAGTTGCTTTGGCAACCGCACAGCTCTCGCGCAGCGCCAGGGCAGAGCCTGGGGTCCCGGAGCCCCACCCCTAGGGCACGCCCCCGCACGGCCTCTCCCCATTGGTCAGTCCCAGGAGGCCCCGCCTCCCGAGCCACTATAAGGCAGGCGGGGCCGGCGGGGGCGGAGACTGGAGCCAGAGTCTGGGGTCCGCGGCTGTACCCGGGGGCTGAGGCTGTGCGCGCCCAGGTGAGTGTCACGCGGGCGGCGTCCAGAAGCTCCCCGCTGGCACGGGGGCCCCGAATTGGGTGGGCAGGCTAGGGTTCAGCGGCGTGGGGAAAGGAGGGGAGTGACGGGCTGGAGCAGGTGGCAGAGACCCTTGGCCCAGTTGGCTGAGGCTCAGGACCCAGTTGGGCGGGGACCACAGCTCTGAAGGCACGGGGTAGAGATGAACTGCAGGCGGGGAGGCTGAGGTCGAACTCCCTACTGTGAGTCAGCTTAAGCTGAGTGACCTTGGGCCCGGCATGGACTGCTGTGTGCCTCAGTTTCCCTGATTGTAATCTGACTGGGTTTATTGGGATTCTACAGTTATCCAGCTGCATCCCTTTAGGGAGCTGCTTGTACAGTTCTGTCCAGGGTAGGGACAGCAGGGACCTCCTCTACTTTGCAGAAGAGGAAATAGCCCAGAGAGATGAAGGCACTTGCCCAGAGTCACACAGCAGGTAATGGCAGGATTCAAACCCTGCGCCCATGCTTTGAATCACTACAGGGCCCCCACTTTACCAGAGGCTCTCTAGCGTGCACCTACTGTGTGCAGAGTCCTGTGTATGCATTGTCTGTGCTCCTCATGACATTCTGAGGTAGGTATTATCATTCCCTCATTTTTTGGATGAGGAAACTGAGGGCCCCAAGAAGGAACAAGATTTGCTGGAGTCACAGAGCCCAGACAGACAGAACTCAGGCCTTGGGAAGGAGCTGAGTGGGCTGGCCCCCCTCACTCTGTCCTGTCCCCCAGGGTGACCCTGTATGCAGCAGGCATGTCAGAAGATGAGGCAGCTCAGGCCCGCAGACCCAGCTTGTGGGAGCAGGACCAGCAGGTGAGGGGCTGCACCTCCTATGGAGCAGGGCATGGGGAAGGATGGGGGACAGCACCTCCCTGGACAGCTGTAGGCTGGGTACCCGCTCCTAACTCTATCTTTGCTTCGAGCACCACACTCTTAGGGCATTTTGGACCATGGAGGCTGGCATCTCTGCACCTCCTATCCATTTCCCAGAGGGGCACAGTGAGGCTTGCAGAGGGGAGACTTTCTCTAAGCACACCCAGCTGGCTTACCTGGCCTCTGTCCAACTTTCCCACTCCCACGTCTGGGTCTCTGCCTATATCTCCCTGTTTCTGTGTCCACCATCATGGCACTCTTAACAACAACAATAACAATAATACCAGCGCTCACACCATCTCCTCTGTATCAGTCACTGCTCCAAGCATTTCACATACATTGGCTCCTAGAATTCCCATCACAGCCCTAGAAACCCATTTTACAGATGAGAAACCAAGGCACCAAGCAGTTCACTCACTTACCCAAGCTCACACAGCTAAAAGGTTGCGGAACCAGAACTGTATGCAGGCAGTTTTGCCCCAGAGCCACCAGGCTCTTTCAGAACTTGTCATGCTCTGTGTGTGCTGTTGGGAATGGGAGCCTGTGAGTACCTTCAGGCAGGTTTCCTCTGCTGTACACAGCCAGGTGTTCAGTACACTTTCCCCCAACCCTCTGGCCCACCTCTAATTCTGGCCCATAGGGAGGAAGTGGGCTAAAGTGTGGCTGAGCCTTCTACCTCCCTGGGGACCCCTCTGATTGTACCCCTTCCCACAGAACGTGGTACACCGAGTTGTGGCCCTGCCCCTGGTCAGGGCCACGTGCACTGCTGTCTCTGATGCTTACAGCGCAGCCAAGGATAAGCACCCACTACTGGGCTCTGCCTGCCGCCTGGCTGAGCACTGCGTGTGCAGCCTCACCACCAGCGCCCTGGACCACGCCCAGCCACTGCTCAGTCACCTGCAGCCTCAGCGTGAGTCCCCTGGCCCGAGAGTCCAGTGGTTGCCTCGTGGTTCCACCCTCTCGTGTTCCATCCGCATGGCGTGCTGGGACAGAGCCCCCGACCCGGGTGTCCATGCCTACCCTGTGTGCCCTTATAGTCGGCCCTGCCCCAGCCACTGTGTCATCCTTGCTCAGTCCTTCTGCCAGTGCCATCTCCTAATCCCTCTTTGCCTGTCCTACCTCCCCTCTACCTGTTAGTGTCTATTTTACCACCTGGCTGTCATTTGCCCTTAGCAGTTTATTTGTGGTCCCTTCCTTCTGTCCCTATTCCATCTGTCTTAAAGTCCTCCTCCTTTGTTGGTTGACCTGTTATGCCTTGGGTCCCCTTTGCCTGTCCAACCTCCCTTCCCCCCCTACCCCTCTGTCCCTGCCTCCATCTGCCCTGAGCCCCATATCTTCCTAGACCTGTGACCAGCTCAGGAGTCCAACCTGACAAGCTGATGGAGGTGGGGGCAGAAAAACTCTTAACAGAAGAAGGGGGGGTCTCCTGAGGGTCCCAGCCCAGGGCCTCCCCACCTCCTTTTTAGCTGGCTTGAGTGACCTTGAGCCTGCTCGCTGGGGCATCTGAGCTGAGCATGGGTGTGGAGTCACCTTGGTGCTGGCAGAAGCCTGTGGCAGGGCAGAGGTGGGGAAAACAAAGGAGACAGGGCCCAGCCTGGTGGCTCACCCATACCCTAGTCTCCAGCCCCTGGAAACTAGCCAGGTCACCTGGGCCTTGAAGGCCTTCCATGATCTCTCCCTAGCTGTCTCCCTCCCTTCTCTCTTTTTCCCTCCGCTTCTCCCTCTAGCACTCCCTCTTTGTGTCCCTCCCTGTGTCCGTCTCCCTTATCACCTCCCAGATTCTCACTCCCTGCCTCTCTCCAGTGGCTACAGTGAACGATCTTGCCTGCAAAGGCCTGGACAAGCTGGAGGAGAAGCTACCCTTTCTCCAGCAACCTTCGGAGATGGTATGGCACCAGACCATGGGGATCTGCAGGGGGTGGGCATGGGAGGGAGCAAGGCTGCCTCCTCCAAGACCTAGCCTGAAAGTCTCTGCTAGCTGGACTCTGGGACCAAATCAGGCTTTGGTCAACTCAAAAAGCACCACAGAGATTAAAATAATCAGCACCCAGCCCTGGCCAGTGTGGCTCAATTGGTTAGGCTTTGTCCAGTGCACCAAAAGGGCAGGGCACACGCCTGGGTTGTTGGCTTGATCCCTGGTGGAGGGGCATGCAAGAGGCAGCCGATTGATGTTCTGTTCTCACACTGATGTTTCTCTCTCTCTCCTTCTCCCCTTCTCTCTCTCTCTAAAAAAAAAAATCAATAAAAAATATTTTTTAAAATAATCAGCACCCATATTTATCTAGCACTTAATATGTGCCAGTAGATGCTAGTAACCCCTTCAACCATCCTGTGAGGGAGAGATTTTATTTTCCTCCAATTTATAGAGGGGAAATTAAGGCCCAGAGCTGGGAAGGGGCCAGGGATCCTTGACCCCCCAGTCCCAGGAGCCAGGGAAGGGAGCTGGAAACTGATAGCAACTGGATGAGGGGGTCCCTCCCACCAGGTGGTGACCTCAGCCAAGGGTGCAGTGGCCAGCAGCATGACAGGCGTGGTGGGCCTGGCGCGGCAGAGCCGGCGCTGGAGCGTGGAGCTAAAGCGTTCCATGAGCCACGCTGTGGACGTGGTACTGGGCAAGTCGGAGGAGCTGGTGGACCACTTCCTGCCCATGACGGAGGAGGAACTCGGTGAGGCTGGTCCCTCCCCACTCTGACCCTGAATCCTCCTGCCCAGTCTCCATCCCCAGAGGTCACAGATTAAAGAAGTTCAGGACTCATTCAAGGCTACAACAGATCAGTAGGAATGTGGAGCTGGAACCCAGCCCTGACCTCCCACTTCACTTCCATGGCCCCCCAGTCCACATCCTATTAGAAACCAGACAGCCCAGACCCCAAGGGTGTAAGTGGCTTAAAGGCTTGAGGGGGCCATGGTCTCAAACCGGTAGCCCTCCAAATTGTATTATCTGACCTGTATAATGCCTTTAAAATGTCTTAACTTATTGCATGCATTTAATAATCAGATTTGCCCTACAAATCTCAATTTCTGCCTTGCCTTGAAAAACTAGACACTTGGGTTGAATAGCATCTACCTCCTTAAAGCCCACCTTTCTCCAGTGTTCTAATATTGCCTGCTGATTCTGTAGCCAATCTGACTTCTCAACCCCTGCCTATGGCACTAGAAGAACATGCTGACGTACTTCCTCCTCAGCAGAAAGGCTGTGAGACATTTATGAAGCACCTACTGTGTGCCAGGCACTTGTGATATATTCTTTAAGAGGCAATTTATTAGAGTGGTTAAGAATAGTTTAGAGCCAGCCTGCCTGGGTTTAAATCCTGGTTCTGCTTCTGGCATGCTGTGGGACTTCACCTCTCTCTGCCTCAGTTTTTCCCATCTGTGAAATAGGGCTAATAATAGTGCCTACATCATAGGGTTTAGGGAAGACTTAATGAGTTGATATTGGTAAAGGGAAACTATAAACTTGGGAGCCCCTGGGCTTGTCACCCAGGAGGGTGAACAGACATGGAGGTGGTGTCTACGCTGACCCCTTCTCCCCCATCCTGTCCTCCAGCGGCCCTGGCAGCTGAGGCTGAGGGCCCTGAAGTGGGCTCAGTGGAAGAGCAGAGGAGACATCAGGGCTACTTTGTGCGCCTGGGCTCCCTGTCAGCACGGCTCCGCCACCTAGCATATGAACACTCTCTGGGGAAACTGAGGCAGAAGAAACATCATGCTCAGGACACACTGGCCCAGCTGCAGGAGACACTGGAGCTGGTGAGAGCCCTCTGCCTGCCCGCACCCTGTAATGCTGCCCAGTAAGCATGGATTGAACACCAGCTGAGTACCTGGTCCCATGCTAGATTGAAGGGGGAGGCAGAACTGGTCTAAGCTGCCTCTAGCTGTGTGTGTTCAGGGCTGGGGAAGAGGGATGCCCGGGCTGGGGGAGCACAGGGGATGCCAAGACTCAGCCTGGGAAGTAAGGGAGGGGTTTTGTGGAGGAGAAGTGGGAGCTGGAATTTACAGGCAGTTAAAGTGGGTCCGGAGAGGGAGAAGGTACTTCCTCCCTCGCTCTCCTGTCACCAATTCCAGCCTTCGCCATCCTTTAACTTCCAGCTCACATCCAGCTGCTTCCCTCATGGTCCATCCCTCCCTGCTCAAGGAACATGACAGCTCCTGCTTACTGGGCTAAGTTCAGATCCCCACCCTGCTTATCCCACATCCCCTCTCCCCGTCTCAACTGCCAGCAGCCCCGCATTCTCAAACCCTCCCGCATCTAACATGTCAGCCATATTATCAGCTCTGCCCTCAAAGTCCACCCTGAATCTGCCCACATCCCCC